CACGACTTGTCCTCATACGATTAAGGTAATTTGAGGGGGGCAGATAATGGCACCAAATTGATAGTGGGTTTTGGGTTTGGGGTGGGGTTTTTTGTTGTTCTTTTTTAGCATCTGAGGGGGTTTTTTCCTTCCACACTGCAATTTTCTTCACAGCCCTCATGCTACAGCCAGAGTTATTCAAAGAGTGGCTAATCCTAAATTATGCAGCCATGCTACTTCATTACTTTCTACTTCCAACTCAGCTTTCTAAAGCACTGAGGACTATGCTGTTGAGACAATTTAAGTAGGAGTTTAGATCATGAATCTAAAGAAAAAGGACTGAAACTTGATGATTCCACTTGCCAAGGCCAACCTGTTAAACCTTCTGAGATTTTCTTTTCTAAAACAAACAGATTGCTTGAAACAGTGAGTTATGTTTGTTCCATCTGGAATTTCTCCCCTAGGATGTATTTGGTGTTCAGGAGCATTATAATGTTCCTAATTGATGTGAAATACCGAGAAAACACGCAGCAGCAATGTCATCACAACACCTTGTGCTATTATCCCATTAGAATTTGCAGAGCTGAACTGACATATGAGAACACGTCACCTTAAGAGAAGTTCCGCTGAGATAATACTTGCTAAGTTTCATAAAGTATATTTGGGGGGGTGAGTGGGGTGATGTGTAAAACAGGGATAGCACATATAACTCAAAGTGACCTTGTTTAACTTCCAATGTAGAAACATTGCAAACTGTAGTTTTCTACTAAGGAGAGTATTTTTTCTGTCTGTTAACTTCTACATTTTAATTGTAGATGCCTATAGCTTTGTTGCCGGCTCCTCAAGGAATAATCTTAGAATCTCTCACATAGAGCCAGTTGAACAGCTTGTCAGAGGAAATAACGTAAAATGATTACACTCTGACTAAAACAAGGTTTCACACAAGATTATCACTGTTTTACCTGTCTCCTAATACTATTGAATAGAAAGATTTAAATCAGCACAGAGAATTCCACACTGTACATCTAGTGTTGCAAACATCAGCACTGAGCATTTATCATGCTGATCTTAAATACAGGCAGATGCCTCCTGGAAAACTTTTGTTTCTTCATAGAATGTTTTTCCATTTTTTCCCATTGTCTGGAATACTTTTCCTATTCCTCTCTCACATTTTTCCATCCTAGGATGTGTGAATGTAAGTTCCCACCACCTGCTCTGCCATTTGGGAGAGAGAGGGAAAGCCATGTGTTTACTTTTTTCTAGTTGTGGGGAGAGCAAATCCAGTGGCTTTGGCTGTTGATGTGATTCAGAGCAGCAAGCGAAGGGAGACAGATATGTTGGGTGTGGGGTTTTTAATGTAATACTTGCAGAATCAAGAGGAAAAAAAAAACCCTTCTCCTGGAGCTGAGGAAGGTGTCATCATTAGGTTTCTAAAGGGAATGTCTTTCAGAGTTTTCCAGTAGCCACCAAATTTTTTTACTTCGGGGCATTTTCCTCCTAACATTCATCTTTTAGATGGACTTTTTCAAGTGAAAAACATGTTTTTATTTTGTGTAGTGCCCCTGGACCTCAGAAATCTTCTGAGAATGATGCGTTTCTAGCAACCGTAGTGATGGAAGCACTGTTTGCCTCTGAAGAATCCAGGAAGATTCCTTCCAACTTTAGCTGTGAGGTTGAGAATCTTTTGAGCATCTTTTTACTCAAAACCATTACTGAAACCGTTTCTACCAAAGAAGAAGTTGCTGAAAGGATTATCACAAAAGCTGATAATGTGCATCTCAGTATCAATGGTCAGCAAAAAGTCAGGAAAAAAATCCTTGGACGCTGAAGAGGAATTCCTTGGGCAGTGTGAGTCTGCAGACAGTAGAGACAAAGACAAAGAAAGAAGATCAAAAGAACCTGAATGAATTTCAATAGAAAATCCTTTGTACATGAAAGGGTCTCCTGAGAGCGAAGATAAGTTAGGGCAAACGTCCTCTACAAAGTCTGACAGTGAATGTATTTCTAACAAACTTGCATCTCTAGATATTATAGATAAATGCCAAGATGTAAAGGACATTTCTAATAGCTATGTAGAGGTACCACCTGTTAAGACTCTTCTATTACAAAGTTGGATAATGTTTTGGCGAGTCCATTTTCTAGAGAAAATGAGGGACTATGAGTAGTATGAGTAATAAAAACTGTGAAGAAGATAAACATAGGAAAAAAGATAAGAAAAAAATATATAATTCTCAAAAACTGGACAAGGTCCACTACTGAAACAAAAGAGAAAACTCAGACACTGAAGAGAGGGAGAAGGAGAAGCAAACCAGAAGCAGAGCAGATGATCATTCCCGCAAGAGGAGGTACTCTCGCAGTGTGGAAAGAAATAATCAGAATCATCATAAGCAGGACTATCGCAAGGAAAGCAAGTACAGATCTTCCCATAATGAAAGAAACAGTGCAAATGATGTCAGAAGCTCAGGAAAATATTCTTGTTCTAGATCCCGAAGCAGAGAAACTTTGCAAAGCAACTCTGGTTTTGCAGCATCCTTGCTGCTTGTCTGTTGATCCAGATGTCCAGGAGCTCCTTCCCAAGCTCCTCCCCAAGGCTTGCAGGGCTCCGGGTGCCTCGGACGTCTCTTCCTTGGCCTCGTTCTGGGTCTGAGCATTTGTCAGGGACGCTCCCAGAGCCTGGCCCAGCCAGGGTGCAGGGGAAGGCTCCCCACAGCTCTTGCTAACCACCAGTGTACCCCTTGCACTGGCAGAGCCCTCAGGGAGGGACACCCGCCCACTGCCCACAACGCTTCCCCATGCCCAGGACAGACTCCAGTCACAGAGCTTCGCTTCCCCAACAGGAAGACCAAGACTGGTCTCTGGCCCGCAGCAGCGAGTTCTGGATGCCAGGTCCACCATCAGGCCCAGTTCTTCCTTCTGCTCTTGGATTTCCTTTATGCGATCACGAGGCGAACAGCTCTCCTCCAGATGATGGTTCTGATCACAGCTCTGAGAGGAAAGGATGTGGAACAGCAGGCACTAAATGCAGGCATGCTGCGACAGGTCAATGGAGGGAGGAGATCATGCTGTAGAACTTCCTAAAGATCATCCCTTCAAAGAGAAAGACGCAGGCAAGGAGCAAAGGCAGACACAGACTGACACACAAGTTACACTGAACCAAACCAGAACGCGCTCAGGCTCTCACTGCTTTGGGACCGTTCAGCTGAGGGTTTCCAGGACTGAACGACAATTTGAGACTGGGGCAAAGCACTGCAGCGTGACAAAAACACCCAGAAACTGAAGTTCTTGCTTGGCCAAGGCTATGTCACAGGCCTTCAGCTCAAATGGGGGTGAACAAACAGCACTCTCCCCATCACGAGTTCCGCGACCCCACGGACGTGAACAACAGTGTTTGTTTTAGGCAAAACTGCTGCGTTCAAACCACTCTGGAGCAGACCTCATCCCCAGCACACAGCGGCAGGGACCTCCCAGCACAGCCAGGAGGGCAGCTCGTGCACCAGTGGCACTGCCACACCAACCCTTCACAGCCTCCGTTCCCAAAACCTGGATCTGGCACCACCTTCATTGGGATGTACGACCTCCAGACACCTCACAGAGCCCCTGGGAGCTGCCTGCAGCATCCCTCCTGCCTTAGCAGAGCTGGCCTGGACAAACCTCCTTGGGTCTGGGGTACCCAGGGGTGCTGCTGGCACCCGCAGAGCTGCTGACAAGCCCCTGAAGCCGTTCCTCCTCACCCCCAGGGCATGGATGCCACCACAACTCCATCACACGCCCTGACTGGTCTAACAGCAGTGACTGTGCTGTGCTCTTCTCTTCCCCAGGTTATAACCCACTCACTTACCAAAAAGAATTTGCAAAATGACCTGCTGACACTCTTTTTCACCATTTTGAAGGAATTTGCACATCGATTCTCCAAAAAGTGATGCTTTCCCACAGCCCGTCCATCAAAACCATGCATCGCAGAGTCCTTAAACCATTGGAGTGGGGCTCCGGCCCCATGCATACCCCGGGGACCCTCCTGACCCAGTCCCCGACCCCCCCGCACTTTAAGCTATGGCTCCCCACTGCCTGGGGGCTGCAATATGTTCCCTGGAATGGGCAACACATCACTGCCAGAGGAAAAACATCAGAGATTAGGAACTTGGTACAAAAAGGAGACTTCAGCATAGCAAGAAATATTTATCAGAGTCTAGCTGATGTTAGGTAAACTCAAATATAAGAAAAGGTTGCGCTTTTTTTTTTCTTTTAAACCAGAAAGTGAAATTACTATTAAGGCTACTTGCTGAAGTATGGATTCATATGTCAGGGACTTATTTTTAATGTGCATTTTGTACTTTATTAAGTAACTTGCTCTAGTTCAAGGAATTACTCTGGCCTATGTTACACAAGAATTCAGAGTGTCTTCTGTCTTCACACTTTATGAACATAATGCTGACCATCCAGGCTACCTTGCAGAGAAGAGCTGTCATCAGGTGTGATGTGTAAAGGCAGGTAGTTTGATCTGAAAACTTTAAATTATGCAGAACTACCACTTCCCTTGCTGGTTTACTTTGTACTCTGCTGAGCTATTCATAGCGGCCATCGCCAAATTCCAGTGGTAGAGTTAGGATTGCATTGAAATGTGCTGCATTTCTTTACTCTATGGTTCTTCTTTTTCCCAAGGATTTTAAGGTTGATGAAGTCCCATGTTCTGAAGTGACACAGGGTCTGACAGGCAAGATCTGGAGGATGTAGTAATAAAAGCAGCAGTGTTTTTCAAAAAGCCATAGCAAGTTCGCTCATGACAGCTGCCGCATTATTTGGGAAGTTAATTTAGGGCCATTCAGTAGGTCATGGTCACTGGCACCTCTGTTTTCCTTCTAAATGAGGCTTCTGAAATGGCATGTTAAAAGGATCAGGCAATGTTAGAAACTAAGCAAAACTACCCCAAATGAATGCAACTGTGGTCTGATGAGTACTTGTCTGTATTTTGGGCAGTTTAAGAAGTCACCATCCTGCAAGCCGTTTTTTTGCCCTCAGCAGCTATGGAGGGGACCCAGAAAAGCTTCCACTTTGCCTGGAAGTTCACTTTGCCCTTTGACTTTGTGTCTGCTGCAGATGGCACCAACGTAGTGAAGGTAAAACCTGGCTGTTTGGCTGAGCATCTGTGAGACCCCTCTACAGCCCAAGGACATGGAGACTGCTGTAGGCAGAGCGAGCAGAAAATGGCCCAGGACATCTGTTGGGCTACTTGTGAGGTTCTGGTAGCTATAGGGAGTTGCAGAGGTTTTGGGGTATTTTTCTTTCCTTGGGATGTGGGAACAGTTTCCTTGTGTTACAGAAAGGCAGTGCCCCTCACTTAGGGTGACAAGCATTCTCCTTCTCATCAGCTCCTCAGTGATGCTATCCAGCTGGCAGTTGCTTCCAACCAGAATTCAGGAGATTTCATGGACGAGGTCGTGGGAGAACTGGAGGTCAGAAAGGCTCTGCTCACTGCGCTCCTCCTAAGTGACGAGCAGCGCTGCTCTTTTCTCCCCTCCGGGACACCAGAGCCTGTGGCAAAGGGTGAAGGGCATGGGCGAGGGGCATGGGGGACCACGCTGCAGCCATCCCGGGGAATGGGGAGAGGGTCTGGAGCCATGCGTGGGCTTCATCCCCGCTGGGATGAGCAGAAATGGGGGTGTGTGCAGGGAGGGGACGCCAGAGGGAGGGTGAAGTGACAGGGTTCCATTTGCAGTAATGTGAGTGTTGCCAGGCGCCGCGTCAGC